TTGCAAAAATAGGTGCAAGATTGCCAAGTCCTCCAGCCCATACTTTTCATTACACTTGTTGCTAAAAAGAGAAAACTGCACCAGGTCTTTGGCTGATATAAACAGGATGAGCATTCATGTCTCCAGGGAAGAACTACAAACTGAAATGATGCAGTAATTAATTCACAATATTGTGATGGTTCATAAAGAATTCTTACAAATTAAATGACCCGCAAATGATCTTACCTTTTTAATTTTTTTTTTTTACAATTTTAACAAATTTCGTTTTCTCCCATTCCTTCTAGGCTCCTTTCCTGGTTCTTAGAATTCCAGTGGATTGTAACATAAGGGAAAAACTCCAGTACCTTTTCAATGATGTAGTAATACATCTTGATATACTTAATGGTGATAAGAAGAAAGGATGAAACTGAAGTATTAGTCAATCTAGGTCTCAAATTGTAGTTTCTATAGCTAATTTTCACAGTTCCACACCCAAGAATGTAGAGAATAGGATTCTTACAACAGCACTCTAACACCTATTTGTGTAAAATTACTGACACAGTATTTCTGTGACAGACCTCTAGGAAAACTTGAACAGATTTTTCATTATTTTTCATTTCTATACCAGCAAATTGAGTAAGACAGAAAAAAACACTTTTCCAAGAGTCATAGGGCACTCAGGGGACAGCCCTTGTGTTGGATCCACACTGAGCACTTCCAGGGCCAAAACCTGTTTCAGAGGTTCATTACTTCTCCAAAGATACACTAGGTGGATCTGGGGCTAGACAGAAAACACATTTTTTTATGAGCCTGGTGGTTGCTGCTGCCCAGACTGCTCCTGTGTAATTGGGAGGATAATCTTAGCCAAATGAGGAAGATATTTGCATTTTGCAAATGACTGGCAATAGTCTAAACAAGAGATTAAGATGACTATAATTTCTTTGCTCCTTCACTAGAAACGACTGTGTTTATATTTACCAGAAATCTTCTATGTTAGCCTGTATTTCCAAGAGAAGCTGTTCTACCATATGGATCAGATGTTTTAGTTCCCTCCCCAAAAAATAATTTATGATGGAATATTTCTTTTACTATTTCTATATAATGATGGGGAGACTGATAACTGTGAGGTTTTATCTGTACAAAGGAAAACTGACAGTACTTGTTTGCTGCAAAAGATCCGAAATTGGAGCTGGCAACCTCAGTCTGGTGGTACAGATACTCTGGAGGTTCACAAGGTAAAAATCTCCTCAATATGCAAAACTATGAGGTTTTCACCTGAACTACTGTTGTCCTGCTGTTCACAAACTATAAATTAATAGACATTTACAAAGACTGTTTTTAAACCAAATAGATCATTACTTAAGATAACTGACATTAACATAATGAGAAAAAAAATCCTAATTTGACTACAGAACTAACAGACATGAAGGAAGAGATATGACAGGCAAAATGGAACTTGTGTCTATTTGTAACACACAAACCCCCACCATCTTCCTATCAATATGGTGATTAAGCTTTATCAGTCATACAATTGTTGTCCTTACTTGGTTTTTGTGTTGTCAAAAGTTTTCAAATGCAAAAATGTAGAAGTCACAATAATTAAAGGAAATGCTGAAAGTTCATATCTGTGAAATTAAAATAAAAAAATAGGAAAAGGGAAAAAGAAAGGGAGGAAGGGAGGAAGGAAGAGAGGAAGGAAGGAAGGAAGGAAGTTTAAAACCTGGATGTTTAGACAGCCCTGCAAGCCCCCTTGTGACCTTACTCTGATATTTAACAAAACATTAATCTTCTTGCCAGCAATTATAAAGAATACAGTGATGTAGCTGGGGCTCAGTGAGTGAGTAATAGTAATTCCATTGTTCTCTTTTATTTATGCCTTGGCTGTACCAGGCAGATGAGGTAAGTTGGGGCTTTTTATATGTTATTATTCTGAACTGGCAATACATAAAGGCTGATTACACAAATATCTGTCTGTTTCTGAAGCACTGTTTCACACCTCCTTCCAGCTCATGATCAAAGCGTTTCAACATTTTATTATGAAATCATGAATTCCTCCTTAGTTTGCATATGAATTATAGCTTTAAAAAAAAAAAACCCACAGTGGTGTACAACAGTGACAGTGCCTTTTGAACCAAGGAACAAAACAAGGTGTTACACATTACTTCTGGAAAGCACTGACTTGCTGATTAATTCTGTTTGCTGGAGCACAGTCCAACCTCCCTAGTGAATACATAAGCCTTGAGACTAAAGAAAATTTTTTTCTCTGAACTGGCCAGTGATTCTTTTTCACTTGTAAAGGAAAAAAAAAAAAAAAAGCAGAGACCTATTTAGAAGTTGAGAAAATGCTGTCATGGAGCTGTAATTAAAACAAAACTAAAGGAGCTTCCATCTACTTTTCTGAAATGCAGTAGCTATACTAAAAATTGAAAATAACTGTTCAGTTAATAACATCCCACTGTACAAGCCTTGCATTCTAAAAGTTTCTAAGTGTGTTCCACATATGTATATAAATCACACTGAAAGGATGGCCAAGGAGGTGGTGAAGCAGAGCTCCCTAAGCTATAAACAGGTGTCCTGCATCTACTTCTTAGGAGAACTGTTATATGGTATCCTTTATGACTCACACTTACTGCATTTTAAGGATCAAAAACCTCACGATGTTCAATCTTTCTACGTCAGAAAGAGGAGGGGTCAAGGTATCCACACCATTTTTTACCTTCTAAGAAACTTGCATTTCAAAGTCTCAGAATTGTGACTCAGGGATAAGGCTTCCACTTACTGTTATAAGAACAGCATCCAGTTGTTGATGCTTGTACTGAGATGCATGTTTCTGTATGACATATATATGTAATTGAATGCTAACAGCTGTTCTTTTACATACACCATGAACATACCATGTTTTCCTCACAGTAGTCTGAAAAAAAATTTAATATTTCTATTAAATATATTTATATTCTAAGGATTTTTCAAGTTTGCTTTATATAATGCAAATATGAACTGTGAACAAACTTATGAATAGAAATAACATTTTATTAGGGCTTCCTGTCAGTGATTTGCAACTATTAATTTTGCTGAAAGTCATGCCATTTGTGTCACTTCAGTCAAATCAGGATTTGGTCCATAATTATTGACCTCTTTTATTTGTAATGACAACTTCTCCCTCTGTTCACTTCTCTGTATTGGCAGAGACAGATTCAGCTCATCTTTATCAATCTGATAATGTCACCAAATCAAAATTTAAGGTGAAAGGGTAAAGAGAAATTGCTTCTATGTTTCATTACCTGCCAAAAGAATAATCTAAACTCTGATTGCTGCACTTCCACACGGCTGTAGAGAGAAAGATCATGCAGCCAAGGCAACAGCCTAGCTGAGAACACTTGGTTTGTTAAAAGATTTTTCAGATCATTAGTAGGTGGCTGAAGTAATTAAACTTAATACAGCATTTGTTTTCTGAACAGCTAAAGGCTTAGCTTGTTACCCTGAGTAGTATTTTCCTCTTGGAGTAAACCCAGGGAGGTTATCCAAAAGCAGATTCAATCCATGGCATCTAATGTGACCTGGCTCTGTATCACTGGTGGGACTGCAGGGGCTGTGAACACTCATACATTGTCATTATATCAGCCACGTATTTCTTTTGCCAACCAACTCAACAAATTTGAAACATTTTGTAAAACTAGCTACCATTTGAGATGTTCTCTGTGAAGTAACTCTGAATATGCATCTTTGACCTTAGAATAATTTCTTAAGTACAGTCTAAGCTGGGTGGGTTTGGATTCTGCACATTAACATAACTGCATTTTTTATCCTAGCATATTTTAAAGCAGAACAGAACAGCATTGCAGTGTCTGAGATTAACACTCATGCTTTTATCAGTACAATTACATTTTTACAGAAATTAATGAATTAATACATAAAACCTACTTGTGTAGACTTAATAAAAGTGCCAGACCAAAGAAGAAGAGATCCCTGTCTGAATGTCAAACTTCAGAAAATAATCCATCTGGTTCTATTCACAGACAGACAGGCCACATCTCAGAGTACCTTGCAAAATCAATGCTCTCCATGCATGAGACACAAACTCACAAAGGCAAGAATTCAGAGTTGAGCCTTAAGCCCTGTTCATAATTTGTTTCATTGTTCCAGCACATATGAGATATGTAAGACCCCCAGCAGCTTTGAGGCTCCTGTTCTGTTCCTGCACAATAGGGGTGAGTTAAGGATTGCATTGTGTCCATATCCCCTCAGTTCTGGTGCCTTTGTAAGCTTTAAAGAAGATATTTAATGTTATATGAATGAGGTTTTATGATAATGCTGAAAAAACAAAATAATATTTGGGAAAAGTAATAAAATCCTCTCTCAAACTAAGATACATTAACACTGGCTCAGTATATCATGCAACTCATTATGTGGGATTACACCATTCCTCTGAGCTATGAATTTACATAGTACTGGAAACCATAAGAGATAAGAAAAGGCACTTGTAGCCAATTCTGTAAGAAAGATATTTTTAATTTGAGAAAATATACTTTTGTAGGGCAGATACTCATATGCTCAACCTACTAAATGTCTACTTCAAAAATTAATTTTATGGAACAAAATTTATCAAAGCTAATATTATACAATTTGGTTTTGCTCATTTTTTACACTATTATCTTAATAATTATTTTGTAGTCTCATGAATCCCAGACTTTACCAGATAGATATTGCACTAGCTAGACTTTAATGGATTACAATTACAATTACTTTTAGAAACATCACTGTATCACCTGCACAGAACCCATTACCATGGAGTATTTAAAAAATATTAAATCCATACAGAAAAAAATATCGTAACTAGATGCGGTTTCAAAACAAGTTAAATTCAAAAGGCTTAGAAATCCTCATTCTTTACCTGTTTTGTACTTAACAGTCTGTGAATGTACAGAACACGAGAACCATCCTGTAAAATTTGTAAAAACAATACTTCTAATATTATCATTACAGAGTTAAGCTGTAGGTTGCTTAAAAATTTGGAGTGCATGTTGAGGTGCTCAAAATGAAAAAGGCTACCCAGGAACACAATGGTACTGTACTATGCTGATTTAATTAACATATTATACCATTTGTCATGTTGCTGGCCCATGTAGCTTTGTATTCTCTGCCCAGAAATATCTGATGGTTTTGCAGGTTAAGTAGAGATAAGATTGTTCACAGTTCTAGAGCTCTAGGTCAAGACGACTTCCATGTCACCTGAAACTGGAACATGTAGAGTATTTTAGTTAAGAAAGAGAAAAGAGCCACAATCTCAGCACAACTGGTGGAAATCCTAGAGCCCAAGTTATTTTAATTTCAGGATTCTGAATCATCAAGGCAAGAGCACTGTAATGAGCTCTTATTACCCAGAAGCAAAGTTGCAAGTAGTAATGGATTAAGAAAAATACTGAAGAAACATAAGGTAGAACATGTTCTTCTGGGAGTAAAACAACCTTCAGCTTCCTCAGGATAGGTAGATGCCACTCTGTAAGGGCTCTAGCTGCACTAAAGTTGGCTGAACTTCTAAGGAAAGCAGCTGTACTTTTCTTTTGAATACTCCTTCTGCCAGAACCCTGAGGGTACCCTTCTAATTCGGGAAAGTGGACAGGGAAAAACAAAGGAGGAGGACATAAACACTGGCTGATTAGCACGCATGCATCTTATCTTTAAATTTTCTGAGAAATGCTGCTGTTTCATTTCCTCTTGTCTCTCCAGCTGCACAGTTACTAAACTTCTGCTGAAGTGAATGAGGAAAAAAATGTTATTTTTGGGGTCTAACTTGGCATTCAACACTTGAGACTTCTGTTGTGTGAGGTAAGCTTAGCTTGCCTCACACTTGTTGCTGCCATATGGAATTTAGAGGAACCTCTGACTCTGGTTTCTTCTCTCTTTCATATTCCGATCCTACTATTTCCACTATCAACTGCATTTAATGCACATTTCCAAACTGTGCTCACTGGTGCAGCAGTGTATCTGGGTCAACTTTAAATCAATCACTGTAACAGTCTCCCTGACAAACTTGCAACACCTTCACTTTCTAAAATGTGAGCTTATGAGAATTAAGTAGCTCATGTGATTTTCTATTTTTTCCCCAAATTTTCTCATTACTCTGATGTTTGTTAAATTTCTTGAATTCATTCATGTATTTTACATAGATGCTCAGTTTACACAGCCATTTTGCAATACAACTGAAAGATATGACCATTACTATGATTACAGAAGCATTTGATGACTTTGTAACTTTAAAACAAGCTGTTATGGTATGACCAATTCATAATCTCAGGCAAGGATGTACAAAACTAAAAGGTAAAAAGCTCTCTCTTGGCAATCACCTCAGAGGCATGTAGAAAATCAAACACACACATACTCAAGAATTTTTTCCACTAGGAATCTGAGGTTCTGCTCTTAGGCACACTTGGATCATCATTCACAGAACCCGCAATTAAAGCATTTTTCCCCCATCATCCCCATAGTTTGAAAAAACTTGCATTCTCCAAACACAGCTGGTCACTCCCCCCTTTCCCCAGTGGGCTTCATCCCTTTTGCCCAACATATGAGGGATCTGGAACCCATTCTTAAAGTAATTTTAAACTACTTTTCCCACCTTCTGGATAATTTTGAAAGAAGAAAAATGAGTAGTAGCTGAGTTACTCTACATTAGCCTAACCAGCTCTGGGATTATATCTCTCAAAACTTTTAACAAATTAACAAGCAAGCTCTGTTCAGATAAATAAGCACTTAAAACTGGTACCATACTGATGGTGGTAAAAAGCACTGTATTAAGCAATAGCTGATCCAGGCCCTGTTCAGGAAACTCTAGGCTAGACCAAGATCTACAAAGGTACTGAGGTGCCTGATTCCTGTCCAGTTCAATGAGATTCTCAAATCCTGCAGCCTGCACCTCGGAACTATTTGCACAAAGGAAATGAGATGAAACTTGGGCTCCCATGAAACTTCATACCATCTTTGGTACAGAAATGGTCTGGCAAACACACAGAAAAGTTACCTGGCCGACAGAGGCAGGGAGGTGAGCACTGACTATGCAGCTCCTAAATCAGACACATGTTGCACTGCTGAGAGGAACAACTGTTAAATACTTTTAAAAGCTAGACTGTAAATGCACACAGCAAATGGCCATGGGATTAAGCCATATACGATTTTTAAAGATATCTTTTGTCTCTGTAGCATCTGTTCTCATTATGAACTCATTTTCTTATCTATGCTTGGGTCCATTTCTTAAATCTGAATACAGGACAAATATTTCCACTGGCTTAATGGGAGAATTGAGTCTGAAAATAATAATTTCAATATGGTTAATTCATCAGGAATATAAAAAATACATTTGCACAATTTTAGCACTTCTCTTTCAATGTAAATTTACATTACTTTGTAAATTATGCTTATATTTATCTATATATTCCAGCATCTTTAACAAATTAACAATAAGGAGTATCAGTGAAAAGCAAGTTATAACCACTTGAAATAAATTAAGATGCTATTTATATCTGATACACATTCTTCCCAGTCATGATGGGACTGATGTAAGACCATCACTTCAGTCAGATACGCCTGTCTCTCAGACATTTCCTTGCTCTCTCTTGCCAAAGTCTATTGTTAACTGTTCATGAAAGGTCTTCCTAGAGACTGATACGTTGCACGGGGTCCTTAGCATGTCTCTTTATTCATGCTGAGATCATATCTCCTCATTTTCTAGCTCTTCTCCTCCAGGTTCTGTGCTGCAGTCCCTTCCTTTTTGAAGTTTCTATTTTCATAGATGACCATTACTTTCTTATATTTAATTCCTCCTAAGTGCTGTAATTTCCCAAATGTTTTTAATTCCATAAGCTGTTTCCTGTGATCTTCTCCAGACTACTTCTCAGCATGGTTTTCAGCTTTCTCTGGGGCTATATTTTTTTTATCCACCTCTTCCTCTCCTCTCTCTTCCCTCAGCATACAACAGCACTGGCCTCCTTCAGCCATAGCTCATTTGTCTGTTTAGCATCTGTTTGTCATTCATACCCCTTGATGTTAGAACACTCATCTTTTTCATATAGCCCACTGTGAATACTTGCACAATGCTTTAGAGTCACCATAGAGCATTTAGTTCTATTTCATCTAATGGGATATTTGCCTCCTTATCTTCAATGGTCTCCTTTTTCCCCAGGATTTTTTAATATTTGTCACCACTATTTTAAATTTACCGTTTCCTGCAACTGATCTTTAATTAGAAAGCTGTAATGGGACAGTGTATTTGCAGAAGCCTCACTTGTCCAGCCTGCAGATATAAGAATCTGCTCCCAAATGCAGAGTTTTTCAAAATGCAGGTCTTCCATTACTTTTATTACAGGTGAGGGAGCCCACTGAAAATGTCCTGATTCATCCCAATACTCAGAATTCACAAAACCCACAATTAAACTGGTATAACTTAATGAAAAAAATGCCCTAACTTTGTAGAATTTACTATGGGTACAACCATTGCTAAAATTGGTATGTAGTGGGCATGCTCTTCTAAGCTTTCTCTCTTTCTCTGTGCAGCTGTGAATCAATACAAGCTGAACAGGGTAAAATTTTTACACAGTGTTCTATCCTGAGGCTAAATGAGTTTTTTCCATTGCCCTGAAATTATTATAATCAGTATATATTCTTGAAAAAACCTTGAAGGCCATAATCATATATCAAGGCCCAGTTGTGACATGCAAATATACCCATTTTTTATATAACATAAGAAAGCTTGCAAGCTATGAATCTGAGCAATACAGTGAATACAAAACAGATGAGGAAAGCCCAAGGTAACAGTGAGATGATAATGGCTGGTGTAATAAGCAGTGCTACTGCACCTCAACTGCTTGGCTACGATTAAACTAATTTAATAACTGCTACCATGCTAAGAAAAGGCATAAATAGTAGAATGGTGGTTTATTGTCTGCTCTCTTCTGTAATTTACTCAGCACCAAAGTATTTATTAGAAACATATTTATTGTGTACTCACTTTTGGATGTGCCATATGTTCCTCTACTTATGATGTAATAATTTGTTTTGTTTTTTGCCTTTTTTTTTTTCTTTTTTTAAGTACTGTATAAAAAGACTAAAGCTGAAACTGGAAAAAGTCAGTAGATATCAGTGTTGAAAGTGAGATCCATTTCATAGGAAGACATTCATGCCTCTAACGAGAAGTTTGCTCTAATGAAATGAAGGAGATCAAAGATGATAGAAAGCAAAGCTATGTAATGAAACAGTGATTTAAGAAGCCTGGGACATTCATTTTATTTTCACTGTAAGATAGGTTACTTGCCTTACTGTTTGGTATTGTTTATTCTGGTGTCTGTACATGGTTTTGATTATATTAATTAGATTATTGGCCAAATTCTACTGTTGTAAATCAAAATTGCTCTTCTGACTCCAGTGAATGACAGTGACTTATACCAGCTGATGATCTACCCTTCAATGCCTTACAAATGCAGGAAAAAGACTTTGCAAACCTTATACAAAGTTTGTTTGTTTGTGAAAATGTTACAATTTATTGCAGTTTTGCAAATGGATAGAATTTCTTGCTGTAAATACTTTAATTGCTATTATAAAATGAATTGAAATTTAATTAAAGATGAAAAAAAGCACAGTGGAAATTTTTAAAAGGACAAAACCAGCGAGAAACACTCCCAGATTTGAATGTCATTTTAACAGTAATCGGAACCAACATCTGAAATGTGTTACATAATTTTAAACATATACTAAAAATTATTTTCTTCCAGCTTAGAGCAAGTGCAGACTCAAGAGCTGTTCCAAAGCTTTTAGTTATTTTCCCCCTCAATCTCTAGACGTAAACAAACAAGAATGCTAATTAAAAATGTTACTTCAGGCAATAATCTTGTCAAAGTAGTTAAAGAGGGTTAGACTCAATCATCAGAAGGTAGGGTAACTTCTAGAGAAAGCATACATCATGAAAACACAGTGCATTTATTCAAGCAATTCTCCAACAGTTTGGATCCAGTGCCATGGACATTATTGAAAAATATAACTTTTGCTCTTAATGAGACAATCAAATATGTGTTTGCTTCTTTTAATGTATATAATGAACATGACACTGTTCCAAAATGCATTTATGATACTAAATAACCGGGCAGGTTTTATCAGAGATTGTTGTACTCTTAATTCCTTAAATTTTCCTTGTTTCTCAGAGGCTGTTACCACTGGCACCACGTGTTGTTTCTCCACCATGGCTGCAGTTTTACTGGGGCTTATGAAGTGTTCTGTACAAAAGGGAAAAGGTAAACCTGATTTCTAAAAGGGTGTCAGACTAGCCTGTGCAGGCACAGACAACATGTGGGTTCTTTGAAACAAGGAATGTAAACTCAACAGTTTTACCTGGAAAGCGTTTTCAAACGTGTCCGAAATGGCAAGAACTTGAATGCCTCTTGAATGAAAGAAAGTTCCAATGAAGACGGAACACCCTCTCGTGCCAACACACTGAGACTATTGAGTCCTCCATGAAAATCAGTAAAATCCCTGGGGAAGTTGGCCACTCTATTCCAATGGCACTCACTGGCCCTCCCTGTCTAAGGTAACGACCTCCAAAGCAGAGCCTACGTGTCACAGTCAGTAACATGCTGAGGATTTCTAGAGACAATGTGGCTCAACATGCAAGTTCAAATTAATTTATGTTCTGTAATTTATGCCTTTCTTTTTAAGACATCATGTCCTCATGTTTTTCCAAGAATAGATGTATAACTTAGTCTTTTGGGCACTGATCCATTTTACACATTTCCTGATCTGCCCTTTTGTTACTGGAAAACTTATTCCAGGATGAAAACTCAGCTTGTGTAAGAAATAAAATCAATTCAATTGAACATAGATGATGGTTGGACAAACTGTGCATACTGTCTTATGCTCAAATGTTGACATTTATCAGTATTATTTAGAAGCATCCAAATAAACTCCTTCTAGAGGACCAAATTTCTAATGGGTATATTTATGTAACACTTGCATTGAACTTAGAACAGCCTGCACTCTGTATAATGTTTCAAATAGGAGTGCTAAAATGGTGCATTTCTTTCCCATTGAACAAAGATTTTATGTTTCTGGCAATGGTTTTGTAAGATAATGTACTTGTTAGCCAAAAAAACCACTCAGAAAATAACCCTAATCCTACTTTGATGTACAAATGTAACAACAGAGCTCTTTAAGAATGGATACAACCCATCTTATTTTTACACATTATATTCTTTTTTTCCTAATGTCAAAGATGCTTATCTAAGTGAAGGGTTTCTCCACGGATTACATTTCCCTATTTTTTTTCTAGGCTACCCTCAAGATGAATGAACTTTATCTTTTCAGGAAGTTAAATTTTTTATTTAAAATGTGAGATCTTGTTGAGTCCCAGGGTTAAGTGCATGGTTTCAAAGCTGATATGCTTTCAACATATGGCTCTCTTATTTCTAGCTATATTTAACATTCTTTTATCTTGAAACATTTTACTCAATTTCTCAAACATTCTTTTATCTTGAAACATTTTACTTAATTTCTCAGAAATGCCATTTGTTTAAAATTTTTTTTTTTTTTTTTTGAGAATCAGGTCTCCAGCAGGACTATCTCTTTCCTCTATTTATTTGCAGGACACAATCCTGGCAACAATTTAACTCCAGCAAGTTGGAGAAATTCCACCTGGACTAAGTGTCCCACAATCAAACTGGCTGTGTGTTCCAGAAGATGGTTCCCTAGCAGATGACAGCTGAGAGTATGTTGCATTTCTCCTTGCATGAAGGGAAATATAATCAGTTATGCAGGAATTTTACATAGGCAAATGGGCCTAAATTATTCTGCTTTGTGCTTGGCCTTGCCCTCAGAGTGCTTTACACTGCCAGTCTTTACTGGTCAGATGGGGACTCCTACTGAATCTGTCAACAGTGCACTACATTCTAGACTATATACATTTCATTAATAAACCACTCCCAGACACTCCCCTGTTAAATATTTCAGTTGAGGGAACAGGACCTATGAGATACAAAATCTAAATCAATAGAAAGTACTTCAGTGTTTCATAGTTACTCAGAAGAGAAATGCTAAAACATCTTTTTGGGAACCATGCTACTTCCAATATCATCAGGAAAGAACCACGGATAAAGAGGGAGCATTTTGAAGCTACAATAATGCAAACATGAACAAAGTTGATTTTGTGATAAGCAGCACCATTTCATTAATGAAAGTGTTCTGTTAAGCAATCAGGATAAGGTTCCCCCTTCAGAAAAAGGAATACTTCTTGCAATACCTTGCACTAGGTACATATTAATGGTATTACACAGCAAGGTAGGGCTGTTAAAATTATAAGAAATAAACAACTCTTGAAGATACTTACAATTAGGATACTCTTTAAAAAGCAGAATCGAGTGCCACATCTTTCTTATCCCCTGAGTCTCACATTCCACCAGTTCTGTCCATATACCTGTACAAGAGTAAAAGGGAATGGTTTAAAGTTTTAATGAAAAAGCAATCACATGGATGTGGCAATACCCTCCCCACTTGCAGATTCTGGGTGAACAGTCTAACCACCTTCTAGATATGTTCTGTATCAATTTCCTCAACTTCTATTAACTTTTTAATATAGAGTTTCTACAATTATGCAGAGATAACATAGAATTATTGCAGAAATATTTCTACAATATTGTAGAAATATTTACAGCAGCGAAACGTGCTTTAACATAAGAGGGGATAATCCCAACATTGTGTATTCTATTACAGAGGCAACTCTCTTAGACCAAGCACTGTAATCTGGATGCAATTATATTTTTTCCAGGAACCTAAAAGCATTGTATGAACCTTTCTGTTTTTAACAAGATGATATTTTCTGACAGAAGACATTTTTTTCTCAAATGTTTCTTAATATTGCACTACAAAACATAGATTTGTTGCAAGAAAAGGCAGCTAAAACAAATTATCTGTTAAATTGCACTGCACAGCCTCTGCCTTCTTGTAATGTTCCACTGGATTTAACAGAAATAATCTACTGGAGAACCACTACTCAGCATGAATAATTGTGAGACTCTGTCTGCCATATATATCTATCATGATCATCTAAGATATCTATATCCCACTATAGCCTTCTTACACAATATTCAAACTGTGGAAAACAGCACAAAACCTTACATCAGCTACAGATTAACAGCTAAGATTGATTTTCTGGTACCACTAGGCCTACTACATTCAAGTACCTTAGAAAATGATAATAATAACTTTAAAAATTACAAATATAAGTCTAACAAAGGCTACAAGGGCATAAAGAACAATAATGACAAACTACTGTGATGACAGTTCAAAAGGGATATAATTTATCTGTGAGATTTAAGTATGTGCTGCTAATACTTTTATTAAATGGTAAACCTATTCGCTGGAGATTTCTGATCATGACATATATTGGAATTTACATTAAGGAGAGATGGCTACTCATAGACATCACTATTTATAAATTATATCTCTTTTTATATAATGTATACTCCATCAGAATTATTTAAAAGAGTGCTGATATTGAGAAATGAGTATTGATTAAAAGACAAAAACAATCCCCAAGAAAATTAAGCATTGAAATCAGACAAAAACATTAAATAAAAGAATGAGCAGTACCCGTAACTTGGAGTACCACTTCCTAAGAAACACATACAGTAGCAAAATCTATTTTAATTGCATATGGGGACTTTGCCTGGATTATGCCCAGGCACATGACAAACCACTACCAAGTCCCCTGTTGGGAGTAAAGGACAAAAAGGGCTTTTACTTGGCTTGTTGCCACTTTTCTCAGGAACAATAAGTCAGTCAGTAGCCACAAAACAAGAGTCCTCTGCATCAAGCCAGCCACCCCCCAGGGAGGCTCTGGCTGGCAGCAGTTCCAGGCAGCTCCATCTTCCCAGTGCCCAGTGCTGGGGGCTGCCAGCCCCTCTCCTTGGCACCAACTAAACGGGACTCCCCAGTCGTCCCCTCTTTTTACAACTCTTCCTCATTGCTCTGGCTCACATTCTTTTAAAAAGTTATTGCATAGCAAAGAGGGGCTGCTTAAGACTCCAAGTCATGAAATATTCTCCTGATTATGGAGTAGTCATATTTTATACTTCCAAATGGTACAAGCTTTCATTGCCCCTGGCAAGAGCAATATGTACAAGCCTATTGCATCATGAGTAGGCACAGAGTAATCAATGGTTAACTGACTAAATAAAGGACCAAAACCATCACTGGGGCCCCAGCAAGGATCCTGATAAAGGATCTGGAAGACTTCTAACTCCATAAAACCTAGAAGGCTTAGAGGTCCTATGAAAAGCAAGTTTCATAGTTTTTGTAAGCACTCAACTAGTGCTTTTTTAACTAATACTTTCTCAGCTAATAAGTTTTTAGGCATCTTTACAGACAAGTGAAGGATTTAAACAATTCAATGTCTCTTGCCATCATAATACCATACATACTTAGCCTCCCTGCACCTTCTGAATTCTTAATTTCATGACACTATTGGTCAAAATGACATTTTATTTCCCCAAGAATCACACAAAGGCTGAGCTAATGCCTAATAAGGAGGGTTCATTAGGACATTATTCAGTATTTTGTATGCTTGTGCTGGAACCCGTTTTTCCATTTTCCAGTGCAAATCTAAATATTTTTTACATTGGAATAGAGAATCTTTTCTGTGGCTTGGTGTTCTATATGAATACTCTTCTATTAATTTTTTGTAAGTTTTTCAACTAATCTCAGCACAATCATATTTGCTTTTCTTAGGGCACAGTATCGGTTTTAGATCTTTCAAGATTTGTAGGAGTTCTCCAACAAATTTAGTAACATCATCTTAGCAGAAGATAAAAAAAAAAAAGAAAATTATTATATTACTTCTAGATACATAGGAAATAACATATCAAGACCATAAAAATTCAAATGTTTATGCTTTACCTATTTTTATAATAATACAGCACATTTTTCTACATTTTTTATTGCCACTGCACAACGAGAAAATAGCTGAATTGTACTACCTATACTTTCCCTCAGGATTATGACTGAAATGTTTATAAATAGTCAATTCACATTTTTAAAAATGCCTTGAAGATGCAATGCACCATGCACTAGCTAGCAGAATGAACACTGGTTTATATTTGTAATCCTACCTAGAACATCTTTTCATTGGTTTCAGGTCAGAAAAGATGCTACATGCAGTATTTTCACAACTACAAGAAAAAGATAATAAAAAAGCTGTGGGTTGAATTTCTCTGCTGTAGTTAATAACATACACAACAATATAAGTAATGTTAACTCCTTTAAACAACTTTGATCCCACCATTGTGTTTCTTGTTTCAAAGCATAAACAACAATTTCAACATCAATAATAAAATGTAAAAAAAAAAAAGTTAAGGATAAAACCAGACATCCCAGGTGCTAAGTCTTTAATGGAAAGAAGGATGAAGAACCAAAGAAAAGCTCCCCCCACCCCCCCCAACTACACAAACACCTCTGCCTGGTAAATTATTGTTCACATAGCTTCATTCTTTGGAAATGAATCAGTTCCAGGTCTTATGAAGAAATGTTAATGCAACATATCTTAACTATGTGCATTTCATTGTTTTTGTAATAACACGTCCTGGCTCTGAAAACAACGCTGTGCCCAAATAAATATGACCAATTTTTTAGGGTTACTTTTTGAGAACTTCCTTTTGTCAGTTTCTCTGATTTTTTTTTTTCTTTAAATGGTGTCCAACCCCCAAGGCAACCTTAATAAAGTCAGTGAAATTATACAGGTGGAAAGGACAAAAATGCGGCCTCTGGATTTCAAATAGTGACAACATTGGTCTCACCATTAAGCCTGACACAAGAACCTTTTAATTTAAATGTAATCTCCAAAAGACCAAATTACCAGCAACATGTTCTCATTAATTCCTGTAAGGGATGCTCAAGCTTTGACCCCTTATTGTTCTCCTTATCGAGAAGAGGCTGAGTCATAGTATTAATAAGCCATCACTCATTTAAGTGGTCATTCACTGCTGGGCGGGGAAAAGATAGGCTCATCCTTTTGAAGTGGGAATGGGCAAGCAAGGCTGCTGTAATAGGCTGTGATTATTTTCACTATGAATGCTCTCCCAGCTTTCAAAAATTAAAAGGAGCACTCATTTTCCTGCTTGAGTATTTCTCACACTGGCAAAAAAATGAACACTTTGAAATGTAAATGATTTAATCTTTGCAAACCCCTGCTTCAGAGGGAGGTACAGCTTCATTTACAAAATGAAGACATTTTAGGAAATGATTATCATTGTAAAATTGAGGTCAGCAGGGAGTCTGAGTTCAAACTCTTAGAATATCAGCAGTGTAACAAGTTTGATCTTCCTTACTGCATTGCTTGCATTTGCTTCTCTGGGTTCCAGCAGAGAGCCATTGTCAGTTGGAACTTGTTCCCACTCGTTTCCCTTGGTTAAATAAAATAGTTATGCTTATTATTTAGAGTTAGTCAGTCCAATAAAATTCAGGACAAGGCTAAAAATAAAAAAGGGAAGTCGAAACTTATTTTGATTGATGTATACACTCTATGTGCATATTCAACTTAGAACATTTAAAGGCTGACAGAGCTGAAGACAATTTTTTTTTTTAAAATACTTAGTTCAGGCAATAGCACTGGGTAGAGTTACTATACCGTCCTAACAAGGTTTGGGAAGGAGACCACCCATAATGGTGAGAGAATATTTCATTTAAAATTTAAACATTAAGTCCTTAATCTCTCTTCTGTGACTTCCAAATAGAATGACAATTATTGTTGGTGGCAGTATAGGGTTTTATGGTATCAGTCAGGCTTATTATGAATGGTGGAGATGATAAATTTGTATAACAAAGTCCAAATGATAACAGCTGCCATATGACAACAGCCATTATGGAGAGCTTCCCTGCCCTGATGGGCATTTCAGCTGAAAATGCTGGAAATCTATCAGAAACAAGGATGAATCTGTGTGAAACAGAACACACAAGTGAGGAGTTACAGTATGTTATTGGTGATACTATGATATAAGCTCATCATCATTTAATCAGTGTCATATAATAATTTTCAGTAGAATTACTTATCTCTCCACCATTCCTGAAGAGTCATTTCTGTCTCCCAGCCTGATACACTGAAAAGTATGTCTTAAAATTAAAATGTCAAAATGCCATTTTGCTTACAAAGATCCTTGATGCACCCTTGGAGTTTCACTAAAAGCCCCTTCAATAGGATAGATGAAACTCTATGTTACTGTGTGCAAGAAATACATCCTCATATCTACAAACATACAAGAGAAAAACACCACATTAGGCAAAACTCAGTATCTGTCCAATATCTTGTAAAAGGATAGGCAAGAATGAAGGGCTGCTTGTATTCAAGTTAATGTGATACAGTTTGAAGTAAGGCTAAAAGCTGGGTAGCCAAACCTGCAGGATGCTTACCCAAACCAACCTTATGGAGGTTTATCTTTACTAATGATGAAAAGCAAAATATTGGCAGTGTTTTTTAATATTCCTCAAAAAGAGAAGAAAAAATGTTTCTACAAACAAAACCGCACAATTTTTCAAAACGTTGAAAATGCTGAAAAAACATGTTATAACATTTGAAAAAAGATAAAAGAGAAAGTCTAAACAACATCCATCACATAGCCAGTCTCATTGCTTACTGCTTTTTCTGGTTTGAGCAGGTGTTTTGTTTGTGTGCACTGGAGTGTGAGGCAGCTGTTCTCTCCGAGGTATGAAGGGCTCCATTATAAGCACCACTCTGCTCCCCTTCCAAGGCAAGTCTGCAAGCTGGGCAGTTGCCACAGTGGAGGAAAACTCCACACCCTTGCCTTTGGGCAGGACTTCTTTTTCTTAGTGGCACTATATACCTGACAAGTCCTGCAGGTGCAAAATGAAGGAGTGTGACCAGCAACAAACGTGAGCAAAAGCCATGCAGAGTAAACTGAGGTTTCAATGCACATGGTCAAGTGTGTCTTGCTGACTCCTGGAAACTTTACATGAGTTTTGGATGGCACTGGCCTGAAAGACAGCTGTTTAGCAGAAGACTGAGTTTTGGTCAATATTACTCTTTTAACTATTTAAAGGTGGATATAAAGTTTTGGACTTGATGCTTGTAACAGAAGCCAGACTGTGAGAGGGTCTAAAGCTGAATGAACCTAAAGTTAAAATATATATGTTTTGATGAACTGATACTGTAACAGATAACCAAAAGCTATAACAGATTGTGAACTCCCTGGGGCAAAGACTCATTCATTTGTACAAAAACATCAACACACTGCATGTTGGGTAATAAGTAAGATATTCCTCAGCCTTCTCCCGTCTCCTACCCTTCAGGAGAGGGGTCAGAGTACAGGAGGTAGCAGGATTCAATGGAATCAACCTTCACTGAGCTACCACCGAAATCCAGGAAATTCACATTGATTCTGAGATCTGAATTTTTATTAACTCTGTCCTATTGCAAACAATGCTTAATATTGTGGCTCCCAGTTATTTTTCTCAGTTGAGAAAGTTCAGATCAAAGGTAGGAGCATGAACACTGCAAGCCCCTTTAAACTCGGGGCAATAGGTACCAATGACACTGTTGGATTATGCTTCTTCAGCTCCACATTCTGGTCAAACAATGCAATATTTTACACAACATTTTTGGAGAAGTTGAAATCAAGTCTGTATGACAACTTCAGAAATTATGAAATAGGAAGCTTAGCTACTCACCTAGAACTCTTTAGGAATGATCTGCTTTGAACTTCTTAACAAATACTGTGCTTTGTCATTAACTCATTACCTCTGAAGTTCCCACGAACTGCTCCCAAGTAATTTTCTTAATATTCTCTTCAGTGACAGATATTTTAGACATTAAATCTATTTTTCATGTTAGCCTAATGATCAAGAAGGCTGATGTAATCCACTGAAGGAACATATATTCTAGTTTTCATTCATGCTTTAGAGTATTGTCACAGTTCAGCACAAAGGAATAATCTGATTGTTTCTCATAAAGCAAGAACAAATCATGATTGAAGGATTTCTTCTATTTAAAGCTATGCTTTGCAAAGCCTATTGAACTTGCTAGAAGAGTCATCTCCGATGCGTACACTAACTACACAAAGCTGCTGCACAGTTGCCATTCAAGGGCTAATTTAGTACCAAAAGGCCAATATTGCCGACTTGCAGATTACAAATATCACGAGATATTTATTTATTTATATTTAAATCAGGATAAAGGATGAAGAGAACTTTCAGTAGATCCACTTACAGTTAAAATGAGTGCAAGTTTGAATTACTTCTTTATGATCTGGTACAGCTGGGATTTGAAAGAGTTGCCGCCAGAATGATGCAAGACATTTGCTTTCGACAAAGTAACGCAAAATTTGTGCAAGTGGGTGAAAGAGCATTAGGTTATATCACCTTGTAGGTCAGCTGAAAAATGCGATATGTATTCTGATTATGAGAAAACAGAGTGAAAGGCAGAAAACAGGTGCTGAAGGATTGAGTTTGCGGGTGCCCGTGGGGCCGATGGCAGCGCCGAGCCAGGGCTGCCCCCGCCATCCCCCTGGGCCCGGCTCTGAGACCAGCAGGGACTGCTCTCATGGGTTTGACCTCCGGGCAAAGATAACTCTTTCATACCCCCTGTTCCACTTTTCCACTTTGTATCCAAGTCCTCTGCTGTAAAATGTAAAACCAGCACATAGAGCATACTGCTTTGGAGGTCTGCCACTTGCATTCAGGCAACCATTTGTACTTTTGCAGGCGTAATCAATCTCCTGTTGCTATCAGCAGGGAGTGGGGCTTTGCTGCTTTATGGCTTAAAAGTAGTTTTGTGCAAATTCTACTTCCCTCCCCCCTCCCTTTAGCTCCACTACTCACAGGATTTCCAGGGACATGGGCTAGAGCTGAGAAAAGAAGCTTGTTTGATTTAAGCACAGAGGGGTTTTTTGTGTGTGTGTTTATATTTTCTCTGCATCTATTAAGGGGTGAGGGGGAGAGACTTCATTTATATGTTAATATTAGCCGGCACCCTGACTAAACTGACAGAACTATTTCATGGGAAGCTGACAAATTTTGTCAGCTAGGCTATCTTTCCACATCTCAATAGTGGCAATAATCTTGATTAGCAAAACAATTGGGGGCCAAAGAAGTCCTGCTGCTCCAAAGACCCTCTTCTCAGGTTACAGTTTGCTAATGTGATGAATCCAGAGAGTCCTTCAAGCTTGAAAAAATTCCCCAAAGCAGCTGAATTTAGGCAAATGAAGGGAACCATTTTGGAGGCTGGACAAAAGGGGTTAATTTGATCGACCATGTCTCCATAGTCTTATAACAATCATTTACTTAACAAGCATATAGAGAGTCATTCCATGGAAACTGGTGGAGTTAACAGAGGAAGTTCGAATAGAATATCTGTTTATCCCAGATGTGTGGGAATTTTAGCCAAAAAACAACACCACATAATTGCTGCCTGTGGTATTGATTCTTACACAGAAACAAGAGCAGAACTAAAGGGCTCTGAGCACGTTATGAAGGCCTCGGCTACGAAGCAGTACAAGCTTCCATTTTTATTAGCTTGTTGCATTGCTAATAAAACAATTAGAAATTAACCCTTTCAGGGAAACTAAATGAACTAAAAAGGTTTGTGAAGTCCTATTTTCAGCATGATTTAAGGCACCTATTTCTGTTTGCAAAAATAAGTTTTTTGTAATATTTTTGACACATATTGATACATCTTCACGCCATTTGTTGCATTATCACATAATGAGCAATGATCTGAATTATATTTATGTAGCTCAAATCGGCTGTGTTTATTCTAGTGCAATTATGCTGCATTTGCTTTAAAAACAGAACCAAATAGTTACTAGAATTGTAAGTACATGGAAGTTTGCTTGGTCCAGGTCAGCATAAATATATAATCACAATATAACATAGCCATCTTGCTTTTGTGCCTTCTCTCCCACTTATTTATGCATGTAATTAATTTATAAATCTGTCAAAAGTTGATCTAAAATAGCTATTAATCATGAGAGAGTTTCTGTTTAAGACCCTGTTTGATGGTTGATGCAATTTGCAGACTTGAATTGAAAAGTTTACAATAAAAAGTATTAAATAAAACTTCATCTAAAGTAGCACATAAAACTTAATTTCTTTTCACACAGTTGTTCCCCCACCCCATCCCCAACATTTTTGGAGTAATTTTTTATTGTGTTACTGAAATAAAAATTACTATTTAAATCATATTTTGTAAGACAAAGGGATTTGACCCAGTATGTACACACTGGTGAATGTTAGTTTAAATGTACATTTTGCCAGACATCAAATACAGGGTTCTTAAAAAATGCTGATCTGTCTTCAATGAGTTTCAGAACCAAACTTATACATTATGCAAATACGAAAGAGTGACCACTTACCACGAAAAATGAGAGGAGGAGGAACTCTGGCATTTTTACTTCTTGTTCTTTTGCACATCAGTGGTGCTATACAGACCACTTAGCAGGAATCCGCCCTTTAAAAGATGCCAGTTATGATTAGGAAGATTTTGATAAAGTCATCAAACTCTCTTTACACTTCAAACTATTTTCTTGATAACTTAGAATCTATGATGAAAGTCTCCAACTGCATTAACTTTAATGCGAGCAAGTAATTTTTTTTCAATTTCCCTCAAATTTGTGATAGGATGTGAGTAGGAACATGTTTTTAAGATTGATTACTTCAAGATAAATACGACAGGAAAATTTATCCAAACAGATTTGTCCATACTCTTTCACAGTGACAAAGGAAAAAGAGTATGAAAAATTTCCACCCATAAAGAACCTCCAACACTTACACTATCACGGATTAATGCTTATTTACATTGAATGTCTAAGATGGATATCTGAACCATAGCATCAGAAGTTCCTCACTCTCCTTCAAGTCAGTGGAGAGCCTTTAAAGATTAGATAATACAGATTACTCAGAAAAACTCTAATGGCAGGAGAAATTTTGCCTGAGCTGAAAGGTTTACCAATAACGTGACACACTTTGAGCCAATGAAGCAGACTTACAGGAGTGTGTGCCACCCTCTATTTGTTTGAAAACTCTGCACACAGCCTCTATTTTTTTCAGCAATCTGTGCTTCTAGATGTTCAAAACTGGATTAATTTTTTTAGGAAGCTGAGGCGCTCTGTTTTATACCATCCGTCACACGCTATTGTAGTGAAAAAGAAAAGGAAAACACACTATATGACTAACATCAAACTGTTACATGCTCATTAAGGATCTCATAATTTTATCATATAGATCTCTACCTCTACGTAAATATCCATCTTATAACCCCTTTATTTAAGGCTGCTTTTAACAATGGCACACATTGCAGTGACAGTACCAGCAGAGAAGCTGTGTAGCCCTCATGCCATGAGGCTGATAAGGAACTCAATCTACCAATGATAAGATTTTTTTTTTAACTTTCATTTGTTCAACCTTTCAGAACAGCAGACAGCATCTAAAACTGAAGTCTTAACCCAAACAAAAGTTTTCTTCTGGCATCATGCTTGGTTTGTTTGTTTTTAGGTACAAACTTTCGAACAACTCCTAAGCCTGGAATCTTTTGTACAACTCAAGCGGATCAAACGTGTGATCCTGCCTGTGCACAGTTCAAGACTCTAGCAATGACTCTGAGGGAGGCTTGGAAGCTCTCACTGGCAGAAGGACTTCCATCCCTACAGCCAGCGGCACAGACAGTCCAAGGAAAGGCAAAGTGCTCCAGATTTTGTGCCCTCTCTGAGGAACCCTGGAGGAGGGAAAGGTGGAGACAACCTGGAGATGGCACAGTGCCTTTGGGTTCATTTCCTCACCAGTTCCTTGTTGTGGTGGTTTGGCCTAGGCCTTCCTTGGTGACCAGTTTGTAACCAAGGAAGGGTCCAGATTTACCCAGTATTCCCTACGATTTTTACATAAACCAGATTATAAGAAGAGAGGAGGAGAGGCCTTCGCTCTCTTTCCTTCCGGCGGCTTGGAGGTGCAGGTTCCCTGCTGTTGAGTCTGCAGTGTTGGGGAGCGAGGCCTGGTTAGGCCTTGCCGACCCTGGGAGACAGAGGGTGCCGGCAATCGTTCCGGAGCAACTCTCAGTTGTCCCAGGAGAGTAGTGAGCTATTTTCTTTGCTAACTCTTTTAGTTGTTAGATATTGGGTTACTAATTGGGATATCTATATATTTTATTTTAGTTTTGTTCCCTTTTTTCCCTTCTCCCTTCCCTTTCCCTTCCGAAATTGTATATTTTAATTGTATGTAAGTGTAAATATATTTATATATCTCACTTTGGTTGTCTCTCTCTCGTTTCGGGTTTTTCTTAGTTTTTTTCTCCCTCTTCTCCCTGAGGTTTGGAGGGGGGGGGGACTTCTGGTGGTAAGGTTTGGAGACTTGGCAGGGAGCCAGCTTCAAACCATATCACTTGTGATACAAGATATTTCCTTACAAATGTTTGATGATATTTACACAGTGATTTCAGACAATGACTGGCCATAGCTCATTTCAAGTGCCATAATTGTTCAAGTGACAGTACAGATTCTCTGCTTGAATCATTGTTGTTGAGAGAGACAGACAACATTCCCATTAAGGCTTTGTTTAGGCAGAATATCCAAAGTTTCTGGTTGCAAAAAGGTAGAACTAATAGGTACTAATACTGCTCTGAGCTAATATTTCCCCCTTCTGACGTGATTCCTAAAAGATCATAAGTGAAGAAGAAACTGCCAATAAACATGCTTTGCACAATTTTAAGGAAAACAGCTTTGGTCTGATTCCAGTTATCGTCAGCAGGATGAACACAGAGGGTAACATTTAGTTATAGATTAATAATCCAAGTACAAATAGTTCTGAACAAATAAGAAAAACATAAACTCACAATATTAAGCAAACCACAGGACAAAGATCACTCTAAATTCTCAGAGCTATATTATTTTCAAGTGGGGAAACAAGCCATACAGAAGTCATTGAACTCTGTGATGTCAACACCAAGGTGAACCAGTCCGAATGATACATTGAACAAAGAGTTATGAAATGTAAAATCCAAGTAAAGCAGATGGAGTCTACATGAACAACAGTGAACTTACTGAACCAGAAAATGGACATTTTTTCAAAAGTTCTCAAACTCCTTTGAGAGAGAATATAATGCCAAGTTACATATCAAATAATCAAGAAGGTTATGTTAGTAATATGTAAAATGTTAGTGCCACTAAAATCAATTTGAATGACATAATCCTCTGCTTGCAAGACTTTACCTAAAAGAAGTAACTGACTGTTCACTTGTCTATGAGTAAATGAAGAAAACAAGAGACAGAAGGATTTCTTTCACCAGGAAAACAGTAACACGTTTCTCTGGAGAGGTAAATGTTGAACTATCGCACAAATTGCAACTCACCTAACACAGTCTGGTTTTGCACTGTGTTTTTCAACTGCTCATCCTGTTGCTCATGCATCATTACCACTGAAGAATTAATCTAAGAAAGTTAAATGTTGTACAGGCCAGAACTAACATGTAAAACCTGCTCCCCCACTCTTCAGTGAAGAACCAGAGATAAATATGTGTTGAGAGTCGAATTTTTCCATGAAATTTGCATTAATACTTGGACAATAATTCTATTCTATCACTGGACTAGGGCATAAACAATTTTCTGTCACCCACTGACAACAGAACAGTCATCTGTCTATCATTGTACTAGAACCATTTTGTCAGAAAAGGTTGTTAGATATCACACAATGAATGCTATCAAATTGGCTATTATCTATCCACCCCAGACAATCTTCAGACTGTGTTTCTCCTCTGAAAATTAAAAGATACAATATTGTGGATCTCAGGTCACTGGCACATGAAAGCATTCCCATTATATCAGGGTTTATTTATAAATAATGCTTCCTGCAAATTTACCCGTTCCTACTCCAACATGGATCTGTTCAAAATAATCCTTACTGCAGATCAGAAAAACCCCCAACATGTTATGATTGATACACTTATATCATAAAACCAAATAATTTTTTGCTCTGAATTTATACGCAGATACTGTGTATAAACCGTTACAGTTTACTTCAGATCTTTCCTCAGATGTTACCTAATAATATTTTATGTAGGTGAAGTGTCACAGAAATGGCTATACCCCTAGTGAAATATAAACTCTGGACTTGCACAATTGTGCATCCTCTTTAACAAAAGCAACTTAGTCACATTTCCAGCTGCCTTTCTTTATGAATATATTCCTTTCTGCCTTATAAATACATTGAAAATAAAAAGTATTCCACATAATTAAATTTTTGGTTCTGCTGCATAAGTTAGCATTTATGATAATACCTCATAGAGAATGAGAAAAAAAGATAAGTTTTCATGCTTTGAGTTAACATAATTTATACCTGAAGTTTTCCTCTACAATCTGAGGTTTGGTAACACCTGTGTTATAACTGAAGATTTCCTATGTCCTGTCAGCTTCAATTCCCTCTCTTATTTGCTCAGTGTGTATTTTGCCAAATTTGTAATACTGGGTAACACACAAAGCAGCTTTCTTTTATTTTCTAAACAGATGATTTCTTAAAATTTTTTATGAGATATGAATCAAACTTTGATCTTCAAGGTGAATCATTCATTAATCATAAACAAAACTGATTAAATCAGGGACACATCAGCACATATTGTAAAAATAAAAGCTTGCACAAGCCTTTTATTTAATATTAACTACATTATGTTTTTATGTGAATTCTGGGAAGTTGGTTATCCCAGCTTAAAGTTAATATTTCCTTAGGAAAAAAAAATGTATCATGTGATTATTCTTCATGTAGTTAGATGGCTTTATAGATGTTAATAGTTAAACTACTTCACAAATGACATTAAAATAGAGAGGAATGCAGAGAGCTTTTATTGATTCTGTTGTGTCTTGGAATTACTCTGCATATAATACAGACTAAAAAAAGTTTACAATAGGAAGAATGAAGCAAATACATTCAGAGGAGCACATGCTGCTTTATGGAACTTCATATGATAGAGAAGAAAAAGAGATACCATATTTGCTGTCCTCTCAGGACAATCTGTGGGCCGGTCTAGCTCCTGTTTGCGATTTACAGCAATTCTACAAAGAACTCATCTTTCTTTTCTATTGTTTATTTTATTTTTAATAAATTCACCAATCCATTGAAACAATATGTAAGCTGCAACTGTTCAAGAGAGAGGAAAAGGAGTCATACCTTTGATCGTTATCACCTTTTTCACTAATTACTGGTTGGGGTTTTTTTGGGAGGGGTAAAGGGAGAAAAAAAAAAGAATTCATCAGTATGACAAATGGTAAAGTGAGAGTTTGTATTCTGAGAATGCTACCTATAGATAGTACCTATCTCCCTCATACCTATTTTAGATTCACTTTGAATTTAATAAGCCTCAAGTTCTCACATCTGGAGGATTTCCCTGCCACCACAACAAACAGAAGGTCTAACAAAGGCTATTGCAGCTCTGGGAGGAGTTACCTCATCTATCTGAAAAAGCAACACCTGAAATCCGAATACATGAGCAGGAAAACTTCAACTGACAGAAGCCAGAATCCACCTCCAGGAATGCACGAAGTAGCAAACTTGTCATTTGGATAGCAACTTTCTTCCCTTTCTTTATTCTTTGAAGGTGACGCAGTTTAAAAGTTTGGAAGGAGCATACAGAAAACTGAACAGCATAATCTAAACACCTGTATCTCTGTGAGCACCTGCCCTGTCAGGAAACATTGACAGAGATGGTTATTAAGGAAATATAGTTCATTGATTTTTTTCTTTTTTCCTCCCCCCCAAGAATACACACAATGTTATACACACAACACATACAACGTTAGGTCCTCACCTGCTATCAACAGGCCATGCATGCAATAAAAAGCCATGGGTAGTATCTAACTCTGACAGAGACACTGCATCTGTAAGATCCACAGAGGCTGCAGGAAATGCTGTAAGGCCCAGGAGAAACAAAACAGTCTTAGGAAGCACCCTGAGACACCCAGCATCACAGACTCCTGATCCAGGAAACCACTCTCCAGGTTTAGAGTGAAAGGGAAAAAGAATGGAATAAATGGGAACAACTTCAAGAGGATAAAGAAGAAAAGCCAGTGTAACCAGAAAATTGCTCACTGCTTTATGATCCAGGCATTAATATACCAAGTTTCTTGCAATGGTTAGTTACACTGTAAGGCTACCTCCAGCAGTCACAAAGTCTTCACCAGTAAGATGCCTCCTAGATTCAACAAAACCAGGGAGACTATTCAGTTTTACAAGCTAGAATGCATGTTTGAAGGAAACATCATGGCCAATCGTACATGCAACCACGGAAAAGTTTGGTTCCAGGTAAACACAAAACAAGTAAGACAAACACACCCCTACTGTCAAGGGTCTTTAAGTATGAAATGGAGTGGAAAATGAAACGAAGAATGAAATCGAATAGAAAAAACCAAACCAAACCAAAACCCCTCGATAGACAGTGTTACTTTGTGCCACGAAATTAATGTCCAAGTTTTCTACAACTTATCCAAAGAACTGACATAGGACCTGGAGGGCTGCTCCAGTGTCTTCCCCCATCTCATCCCTTCAACCTCTATCCGTTAATAACGATCTACCTAATCCACGTGTCATGTGATATAGTCATCAAAAAGTGATGTACCTGCACATAACACATACAAAACAATATGAGAAGTTATTTTTAAAAAGAAGAGAGAACCTTAAACATTATTAAGTAGCAAATCTGTGAAATCAAAGCATTTTCCTCCTTTTTTTATAATAGCCTTTCATTCTTTTTATGATTTGTCTTTGAGAGCTCTTAAGCTCTTCCTGTGGATGACAGTTGATATTGTTCTTCCATCCTGCTGCAGACAGCATAAGGGAGGGAGGGAAAAGAAAAAAAACCCTATTGTACAGCTTTTCGTCTCTGAAACATGATTT